TGAATAGGAAACCAAGCCCATTCCAGCATTCCTACTAGGAATAAAACTAGGGTTTCTATTATTCAACAATTACTATTCAATGAATTTTTTATCTGTTCCTTTCGTCATTGTAGTTTCTTATATCTTTGTGCACGGAGTACAATAGTACATAATTGAATGGTAAGTGTTCCCCACATTCATCTAGTCAAATACACCTGCACTGTTGTTTCTTTACTTAAACTGAAATTTTCATATAAATTATGATTTTAATCTCCAATTTAGAACAAGCTGTGAAGACCTAGGTTTGAATCTCACCGCCCATATTTCAATGAGATGTACCCAAAAAAAAACTTTTTGAGCTTCTCAATAAAGGCTGTGGTACCCAAAAAATAAAAAAATAAATAAATAAAACTTGTGAACCTCTTAGGAAAGGCTGTGCAACTTTTCTTTTATTTGAAGATCTAACTTGGAAATGGCAAGTCATTGGGTTTGTGGCCCCTTCATCTTTTTCTTTTGGCATGGTTATTTCAGGAAGTAGTTTCTACCTTCTATGAATTTGTGACTTGGTGAATGTTCTGTTTTCTATTTTACTGTAAAATATCTATGTAATACAGAGTAATATAATAATGATAATAATATCTATTGCAGTGTATAATAATGATAATAATAAGAATATAGCAACATAAAATGGTGTTGATGCAAACTATTTTCTTTTGTTTATTTATTTTTCCTTCTTTTTATGTGTGTTTGGGGGCAGGGTTGATGTGCATGCTAGGGGAATTGGGGCCTTATATTGGCCAGTTTTGTATCATTTCCTTATCTGCAACAATTTTGCAGCTTCCATTATCATTCAAGAATTTGGCACTAGAGAAGAATATGGACCTCTATTCATCAGCACATTTGATCGATTTATCAATGCAACATCTATAATGTCACTGACTTCCTCATATATATGCGACCAAGAGCCTGATCTGGTGGAGGCCTTCACTAATTTTGCAACTACCTTCATCCGATGTGCTCCAAAGGTGTGAATGTCTTGTTTGCTTAATTTAGATCCTCTGAAATTTTAATATGCACAAAAGTAAGCATGTCCCCTTTATATATTTCACAAGTTTTCTTGGACATGCTCTTTCTCTAATTCAGGAAGTCTTAGCGCTCTCTGGTTCCATTATTGAGTTATCCTTTCAAAAAGCGGCCATATGTTGCACGGCTATGCATCGTGGTGCAGCACTAGCTGCAATGTCATTTATGTCTAGTAAGTGATGAATACTAATGAGGATGTCATTGTGTTTTATTGCTTTCTTATTTTCATCAAATAATATCTGCATCTAAGTTTCTCTTAAATATTTGGCTACTACATTTCTTAAATTTGTTTATTGCTTGTTTCTTTAACTTAGCCAAGATTATAATGTGGATAATATAGATTTGTGGACAATCTATTGAAGCACCAACTAATTCTCATTTGCCAGATTTTTTGGAGGTCAGCCTCACTGCATTATTGGAATCTGTAGCACATGTGTCTGAAATGCAACCCATAGCATGCATTTCTGAAAGGTCAGTTGAAGCTATGGCAATAAAAGTCATATCCCAGAGCGGCGAGGGGCTTGTGTCGAATCTGGTCTATGCTTTACTTGGTGTATCTGCAATGTCAAGGGTGAGGTCTTGGATCCTCCAACCTCTTCTTTGAGCAACTATAGGAAGATAGTGTTATCTGATACACCACACCAAGGATGCTATATGCAAATGTATTATGCTCATCAACATTTCTTACCATGCCATTTGTGTCAAATGAAATACAGTTTTCTTGATTTCCATGCTCTATGCAACCTTATTTTCTTCTCTAAAGTGAAAAAAAATATATGATAATTTGCCGTTTTCCAACTTAACAAATGAATTTCAGAAACACACATGAACTCTTACCCATGACCAGTTGACCACCATTTCTACCAATAACTGTTATCTCATGCCTTCCTACCCACCATCACTGCTTGCCTTTAATCTTCAGTCTGTCCATCAGACATTGGTCACTACTGCCCACCACCTAATCACTCACTATTAGGGACTGGATAGATGTCATTCAAAATAATACGAAACCTGACCCAATGTTCCTACATGAAATGGAAACATCATATTTGACTTTCTGTGGACTTTTATGCCACCCAAAATATTTCAATGTGTTCTTATATTTCTAATCTGAAATTAATTGCATGTTTACAACTAACAAATATGTTTTCCATTTTTCAATGGAAAGCGAAACCTTGGAAAATTTTGGAAATCTAGAAATTGAAAATAGAAAACATTTTCTGTCAAGTATACTTGCCAAAAGTTTCCTCTTCACTACTTCACTAATTTGAATGTTTTGTATGATGGCTGGAATTTTTTTTTTTTTGAGAGGTGTCTAATGGCTTTCCTATTACCCTTGGTGAATTCTGTAATTGCTTTGGGTCTATTGGCAAAGTAACGTGGTTGCTCTGTGCACTGGCTGTGACCTTTAATTTAACATTGCCTAATGATGTCTACATTAGTTGATAACAAGATGAGATTTTAGAGTCCTATCAAGCTATGAGATTAACACTAGCCATTCTTCACAGGTTCACAAGTCTGCAACTGTCTTTCAGCAATTGGCTGCTGTGTGCAGTGTAAACGAAAGAACAACATGGAAGGCCATTCTTTGTTGGGAGTCTTTGCATGGATGGCTACACTCTGCGGTTAGTATGTGTGTGTGTGAATTAGCACGGGCATATTCAATTTTATTTGCATCGGTATACCATTCATTCAGGCTCATATACATTTTTTGAGAGCTAATTGTCATCAGAATATACTCTTGATAAAACAACTTCGATTGTTAAGAATTGAAGAGTGCAAAGGTCAGTTAAAGCCTCACCAGCTATTTTATCCAGAGAAGTCTTTGATCCCCAAGTCTGTAAAATCCGATTCCCAAACCATTGAACTATCAATGGTTCCCAGAGCTTAAAAAGCAAAGAGCAACAAGCCAACTGAGGGAAAAAGAACAAATGGAACTAAAGATTACAATAACAAGGAAGAGGAAATAATCTTATATGATGAAATAGAAAGGACAACAGAAAATTTAAAAAGAGCAACGGAAGAAAATTCTAGTCAAGGGGAAGAGATGGAAAACCATTTAGTGTGTATATTTTTTCATTCCCACATCATTGTTCCAATCAAAAAGTGAATACCCCTCTGAGGAAGAAATATACAAAAGGTTAATTATCTATTATTTGAGTTATTTGCAGGTGCAGACTCTACCTTCGGAGTACCTAAAGCAGGGTGAAGCTGAATCCCTGGTCCCAATTTGGCTTAAGGCTCTTATGGCTGCAGCTTCAGATTACATTGAGTCCAGGCAATGCAATGGAAGAGCAAAAGATTATTGTCATATGCAAGGTAAAGGGGGAAGAACTTTGAAACGCCTGATCCGAGAATTTGCTGATGGGCATCGTAATATTTCGAATCTGACTTGAGATGTACAGGGAGTGCTGATAAACTAATCTAATCAAGTTGCAAGTCTTGCCAACTTGAGATTTCTCTTCCTCGCGTATGGCATATTTTTAGGCCTTTTGTGATATCATTTAGATCCAAGTGAAATAGTATGCATTCTTTTGGATCATAATTTCTGTAGTTATCCCCAATTTTGTTTATTATGAGGATTTTTGTAAATTAACATCCCATTTACCATAGCTATCAGCAGCTATAGTTGTAATAGATGTTTTAACAGGAGAAAGTAAATAAGAGGGAAAAGAAGTCTGTTGTTACTCCGTCTTTCCTATTCTGTGCAATGTTGAAAGCTGGGTTATGGTTATACTCTTCTGTTGTTGGGCCTCCAAACCCTGGGAAATTGCCTGAAATGATAACTTTTTGAAACGGAAAATACTATGTTAGCTCTTATTTTCTACTCACGAATTTTATGATCACTCAAATTCTTGATGGGCATACTTTTTTGGGACTCATGATGAAAATAGCATGTTATTGTTTGCCATATCAGTAAGTAAAAATGGAGTAGAATTTGGAAGCATACATAGTAGAACTTGACGACAATAAGATGATTTTAAAACATGGTCAACCTTATGAAATACTCCATTGAACTTGCGTTTGTGCTTTGTGCTCTGCATTTTTGTACAATACAAACACAACTGCGACAACCTCCTTACTCTTGATTGAGTCACTTCCTTTGCGTTTCGGGACAGTGTATGCACGAACCACGTGAATCTTAATCGCACTCTTGATATTGAATGGAGATATCTCATTTCCAAGAATATATAGGGGATACATTCTGTTGTAGAATATGTATTCTTTGATTTCTTGGAAAAGTAGTACTTCGTATAGGCAATTGTAATTGAATGTGTAGGTGTTTGCTTCTCAGACGGATTTATCTATTTATACAGACGTAGAAGTAACAATTCGTAGACTTCCATGGGAAACACACAACGTTTTATTGAAAATGATGAATAGCCGCAGTGTAATTTAAATTGTGATTCTCACATTTAATAAGCTTTTAAATAGAATATCAATAGGTATTTGTATAAGTTTACCATTTGTAAGTCTAAATATATGTAAACTACAAAAGACACCGTTATTTTATTTATTAAATTCAAATTCTTCTTATTTCCAACCGGCCATAATGCAAAACATCCATCATCAGCCCCGCCCAAAACGCTACGTTTTGCATGAGCTGGAACTTTTACCCTATTTTGTAAATTACCAAATATGTTTAGTTTTATTATATTAGATGATAGAGGATGAATGTTTAATAAATAATACTCCGTAGATTATTGTATTGCCAAAGGCCTTGAGGTGGAGTGGCATAATTGTGGCCCCTCAAATAATCAAATATAAGGTTTCAGGTTCGAGTGGCCCCTCAAATGAAAGGTTTCAAGTTCGAATCTTAATGTGGGACAATAGGAGTATTGACTCTTTGTACTTCAATAGGTAAAAAATATGTATGAAAGTCAATAATATTCAAATAAATAAACTTGAACCGAATTTTCAAAATCTTAACAAACCAATAAGAACAACCTCCTTTAGTTTTTGTTCGTTTCATTAACATCACACGTTAAAGCCGCGGAGGGGATGTTTTGCCGATTAGGGTAGCGGACGAGCGGTAACGATCGAGGAAAGACTGCGCCCCTTCTACTTTGATTTGAACGAACGAACGAACGAAGAAGCAACACGCCATGTCTTCTACGGTGGCGCTACAATCGCAGATAGCTTTCACGACTGCGCCTCTCTTCGTAAGAGCGGCCACCACTACTGCTACGCCTAATGTCAATGTTTCTCTGGTGCACGCCCCGACTCCTTATCGTCGTGCACTTCGCTGCTCCACAAATCGAAATAGCGCTATCGTCGGCAGAAACCGTTCTGGAAGGACCGGATCCGGATCCGGATCATTTCGATGCTTATGCGGTGAGTACTCAATGCGTGCTTGCTTGCTTTTATCCTCCGTTGTTAATTCAAACGATAAAAATGATGGGGGAGGTTCCTAATATAACCAATTCACACATGAATGCGCAACAATTAGGGAGAATATTCACTTCTCTTTTTGGCTAGGATGATTTCAATGGACGTTTTGTGAAGATAATGAAGAGAAATTGATTTTAGGTTAGTGTTCCATGTCCCAAGTATCATACTTGGAGGAGGGAGACAGTTGCGATAATTGAAGAATTTTCTGGGGGTTGCTCCCACAGTGTTTGGTTTCTTTCTAATGTTTGACTTTTAAGTGTTATTGATTTATGCTCTGTTTGCATTTCTCTTCACTCTTATGCAGCTCTAAGTCCTGAGTTGAAGACTACTTTGGATAAAGTTGTTACATCAGACAAAGTTGTGTTGTTCATGAAAGGAACCAAGGAATTTCCACAATGTGGATTCTCCAACACAGTGGTGCAGATACTAAAGTCCTTGAACATGCCTTTTGAGACAATAAATATCCTTGAAAATGAAGTGTTGCGACAAGGATTGAAGGAGTATTCCAGTTGGCCAACCTTTCCTCAGCTCTACATTGATGGGGAATTTTTTGGTGGTTGTGACATCACAGTAGGTAGGTATATATTATTGAACTATTTATTATAAATAACATGGAGTAGAACTTGAATATTGAATTTGGTTCCTATGTTTTGAGCATTTGGACAAACTTGTTGGGTTGAAGGGCAGAAATAGGAATATCATTGGATTAGATACATTGAAGTGCTGGAGTTATTTTATTATTATTATTATTATTATTTTTAATTTTTAATGTGGGAAGGTAAGAAGGTTAGCAGTTGAAGTTGCTGGGTCCAAACATGGGCAGGGTTGACAAAATGAGCAACCAAATGTTGATGTAGTTATGTTAAGTTTTGTGAAGAAAACAGGGAAATTTATCCAAATATTTATCTTTTTTTCTATTATATCAACATATAAAGGACAAAAACTGATGAGTTATACAGTTATACTCCACTTCTCATCCTTGTATAAGTAAAGATAAATTAAAGTAGTAGCTTAGGTTTAGGATTGAATACATTTTCCCCCTATCATACTAGAGTTATAGAAATCAGTAAGAAATGCTATGTCATAGCAAATACCATTATTTGAAAGTAATGCAGAATCTTAGGAAAATCTGACATTAAGACTATATTGATGTAATGGAGAATAATTTAATTGTAATTGGAAAAGGAAAAAACACTTTTGAGCAATAGGGAAGTGGTCTTCTTACATTTCCTTCCCCGCCTTGTCTGCATATCCTAGCTTCTGTGGTAGTAGATATTGAGATAAGTAGATGGAAATAGAGTAGATAGATGATGGTTGCTAAAGTAAGAAAAGCTTGTAGGAAATGTAGTCGGAGTGGTGACTATATAGATAGTAGAACTAGTGGTGGTGGGAAGATAAGTAGGTAGAGATGATGTCATGATGGTTTGGAAATAGGCGGGCAGGTAGAAATTTGTAGGTAATGATAAAGGTGATTATGGATGAAGTTATGTTTTTTTTTTTTTTTTTTTTTTTTTTTAAATTTGGAAAACAAGAAAAAAGTGTTCTCCAAATCCTTTGTTAAGTTGGAAGAATAGAAAATGGACAAAAATGAAAAACAGTGCTAAAATTACACATTTTCTGCTATCTATTTTTTCAGAAAAATGGAATTTTTTTCTAGTTAATAAATGCACCCTAAGTATTGTATTGTTAGTCCAATCCTTAAATCACAATTAATTCTCTTAAGCAAACATGGGATTGTCCCCCCAATCCCACTCTTTATCCTATCTTTAATGCTCCTGGGCTCAAAATTCTCTCTTATTCCATTATCTGAATGAAACGACCTGTAATTATATACTCCGTAGTTCGAAGAGAAGTCAACTGAAGATTTGATTGTATTAAACCTAAGCGTATAAAAATTGAAATGGTGGCGCTGTTGCTTTTAATTTAAGCATATAAAGATTAAAGAAAGAACAAAAATACCTCATAACCGGCCTACACTAGTTACTTGAGGATGTGGGGGACTTCTGCTTGTGTTAATCTCAGATCCTTTGTAATTATGATTTAATCTTTGACTTCTCTATTTATATTTTGTACTGCCTTTCTAAGTTCATAAGGTTATTTTATTTCCACTATCAATGCAAGAATTTCTTTGGTTGTTAAGATTGCATTCCCATAAGTACTACTGCTGCAGGACTTATCCTATGAATATTCATGGATTGTAAAATGTGACATATTTTGGGAAAGTAATCATGTTCTACAAGGATTGGCGTGTTTATGGTCTCATATCATAAGTGACGTTGTGCTAAACATGGGATTCTGTTTATGTTAGTATACATTTCAGTAGCTACATACAAGTTTTAGAACTTACTTGCATTGTGATTGCAGAGGCATACAAGAGCGGAGAGCTGCAAGAAGTGCTTGAAAAGACAATGTGCTCTTGATAGGTTGAAATATAGACATTTGATGCCATCAAATTGCAAAGTAGCAGCATCATAATCCTAAAACAATGTTATGAAATGTCTTATTCTGTCATCCAAATGATATGAATGTAGGGTGTCAGTTATTCTGTCTCTATTTTTAAAATAAAAATAATTTATTATTCAATTTCTGACCTGCATTGCTTCATATAAATTTTGGTTTGATGACAGTTGCAAAGTAGCTTGGTCTGATAGTTACAAATATACTTTTTATATGGACCAAGTAAACTCTTTTCAGCTCATTCTAATTTCCAATTAACAAGAGTTGGTTATGTTTGGTTGCCGCACTGCTGTTGTCAACAGTTATGGTTTGATCAGAGTCAAAATCAATGAATGCCAATTTTTAAACTAATTAATTATAACAATTTATGACTCCAAATAATGCCTTAGCAGATAATCACTTCAGGCATTAACATAACCAAAGTGAGGTTTGAACTCTAGATTTAAGGGGTTATTTAATAATTAGAAAAGTTTGAACTCGTCTCATAATTTGTAAGGTAAAAAGTTGTTGTCATGTTTGATGCGAAAAGAGGTGTTACTTGCATATTCATATATTATTTTTGAATTTATGTTAAGCTAACCCTAATAAACTCAACAATATTGACACCGCTTGTGAGGAAATTGTAACAAAAATTCCATGTTAATTTTATGTCAGACAAATTGTTCATGTATTGCTTAAGAAGATTAATCTGAATAAATATTAAAATAATAGTCAACTATATATAGTGTGATTAAGTATAGTTGAACAAATACTACAATGTATATAGTAGTTTTCAAAAGATATATAGTGTGATAAGTATTCCGGTTACCATTTCAAATGGGGTTATAGGTTCGAACCTTGTGGTGAATGCTTGAGAAAAATATAGAATATATATTACATTGTGAAGAATCATGAGTATTTTTAAAAAAATATTAAAATAATAAAAAAGTCCTAATTCTGGGGAAATGTAAAATCTATCTCATAAGTTAAGCAAATAGGGGCTTTTAAATTTATTTTTATTTTTATTTTTATTTTTATTTTTTGGCAAAAACTCCCTTAAATTGGCCAAAAAAAAAAAAAAAAAAAATACAATTGAGTCTAAGTTATCATTGATTTGCTGGTTATAAGCTTCCACTTTCAGATGTGGCAGAAATTTAACCTAATGAATTGGACAACCCTTCGATGGATTAAAATTGAAATTCTCTTTAAATTAATTTCACGAATACATATTGGAGGGTAGTAACACTGTAAGTGTTTGGTATATAGCTATTAGTTGATAGTTGTTAGTTGATTAGGTTAATAGATTTGACTAGTTGATAGCATTAGTTGTTTGTATTAAAGTGTTTAGTAAATTAGTTGTTAGCCAATAGCTGATTAAATGCAAAATGCCTTTCTCAAAAAGCTAATCGAAAAAGCTACTTTGAACAGTTTTTCAAATTTTAACATTTTGAAACAATAAACTGTCACAAAAAATTAATTAATCAAACGCTCATATTGATTTTTTAACCAAGTCAAACAGCTAATAGTGATCAAATAAGCTAAAATTGACTGATCAGCTAACTATATTACCAAACAAGGCCTATATATTTAAAACTTAAATCCTCAATACTAATTATAATGTGGCGACTGGCGAGGCTGAAATGATAGAGAATGAAACACAAGAAAAGTAAAAGAGAATTCGGAGCAATTCAAATTATAAAGGCCTAAAATGTTGTATGTAATGGAAGTCCAATTGGGAACTCCCCCTCCTTATGATTCAAGGGGGATTTGGTATTACAAGTGTAAATTCTGAACAAGTTTTCTTTGGGTGTTCTGAGATTTACCCACTATAGTCTACAGTCTATAGAAGAAGATACAAAGGGATAACCTTAGGCTCACTACTCACTCACTACACACAGGGACCATACCATAGCAGCTTATACACATATCACAGTCATTTGCAGAATTTGTACTACACTGATACATACTACTGTACTAACCTCTCGTTTCAAACAATTGCTTGCAGCTCGTGGCGCGCCAAACTACCCACCTCCTCATGCCTCTTCGCCTCACCATCTTCCGATTCCAACATAGATTGCCATAATTTCACAACCAATTCCTGAACTCAAATTACCAATGGAAACTTTCTCAAATTCAACTCCACCAACACTATATATATATATCCCTTCATTTGTCATATTCTGGGAACTAACATAATCAATCCCTTAGCAGTCTTGCAGGCACAACTATAGACAGACATTAATAACAGTGTCTAAAAATCTTGGCAAAACGATGGTATGGTAGAAATAACCGGTATTGGTCTTACTTTGCTTAAGCTATCATCATGTAACCATACTACTGCTACCCCCAACACTCTGGGGAAGCATTGCAGTTGCCTCCAAAATTCTCTCACCATCCTCATCATCACCAGAAATTTTGCTCCAACCTTGGCCTCTAACAGAAAATAATTTGGCCCGGTCAAGCCCACTTCCCCGGAAGCCATTCATTTTGGATGACACCATAGGCATTACCAAAACTGATGATGCGTGAAGTGAGTTATCCCCCAAACCTAATGATAGTGAACATGCAGCCTGCATAAAAGCCATTGTCCCCACAAATTAAGGACCCACCAACTTCTACTTAGGAATAATAGAGTTAAATAAAATATCAGAACCTTTGCCTTGATAATCAAACTTGCAGATCTCGTCAACATTACTTGTTTAAATGATTTCATGTCTTTAATTTGAGAATCTTCAGATGACATAACCAGCCTGCCATGTAGATATTTGAAAAGTACAATGAGATTCACAAAGTGCTTACACAAATACTTTCTACAAGAGAGTATATATGAAACCCCTTATATGTAAAACCAAGCAAATTGCAAAAGAATTTACTATAAGGATTTTAATAATTTGAAACCAATGTTTAATAAAAAGAATGCATTTCACATGGAAAACTTGAGAACTCACATACCTTCCCACATCATTTGACAGACTTGAATCAGAAACTACAGGTCTATCCTTGACTTCACCTCCTGCAAAAATTTGAGATAGGATTTTCCAGTGACCAGTCACAATTAAAATCTAATATAGTTGTATCCAGGACTGATTAATTACACACCTTTGGAATCATCTGGTGCCAGCAAAGATATGCCTATGAATACAGAAACCATTCCAAGCACAAACATTGTTGTTCGTAAAGCATCGAATACCTGCTTAAATAGCATCCAATAAGTACGTCATACCTAACACTCTAACAGTCTAACACCATGACTTGAAGGCCCTTAGAAAAACTTTCTAATTAAACAGACTAATAGCCAAGTCTAAATCAGACCATCCTAACTACAGGAATCAACAGCAATCAGGAAGCAGAAAATGGGAATAACAATGGTCAATAGATGCTAGTCATGCAAACCATTTGCAATTTGTGTTTTTCAAATTGCATCCAGATTCCAGAGGGAAAAAAAGGATTATAGATATTCCTGAAACCACAGACATAAAAGAGAGAAAGAACCTGATATTCCTGGAAATACACAAATCCTGTACAAATAGAAAAAAAGGTCCAAGCAATCTGAAACATTGGCACAATAAGAATTGCATCGAACAGTGAAAGTCCTTCATTCAACCTAGCCATCTGCAATCATTGTTAGATCAAATAAACTCAAAGTTTACAAGGGATACACTCATCTAGTCATACAACATTTAAATTTTAAATAGTCAAGTATACAACAAGGGTTTAATAAATATGTACCCAAAATCCAGCTGTACTAAGAAATAGCAGAAGCATGGAGTACGTTAACCAGCTATGCAGTGAATAACCACTGGAAATGTACAATCTTAGCAGGTTTGACCTGCATACACATGCACAAAAATTTTCAATTCGGATTTTTCTCCACTAAGGGGCAATGAAAAGTTTAAGAGGCAACTTACAGAGATTTTGCAAACAACACTGAGCATGACCCAACAGCACCTGAAACAATTGCATATGAAAATGGAAGCAGCATCTGCCAATAGGGCTTGAGGTCATTTCCAGGGACACTGAGCAGCTGTTCCCCTCTCCTGAATATAGGAATGTTTCAGAAAACAGAAAAATTAAAAAGAAACATATTGTTTGTTTGACTACCCAAAAATCGTGTAGACAAAATTATGTTGATTTCTCATATTACCTGTATATTGAGTGAAGCAAAGCAACTGTTAGGACCAAAATCAGGCAATATAGAAGAAATGTAATATTGCTGTACTTCTCTGCTAACTGCTCTGGTGTATAAACTGCGAACAAAAAAAAAAAAAAAGGAATATCTAATTTCATAAACAATAAGTGAAAATAATCAGAAAAATATATGACCCCAAATTAAATAAAACACATCCAAATATAGAGATTTCTATGAAACACACTTAATACATGTGTTTTTAGTGAATATTTCAATAATTTACAAGAAACAGAAAATGCATGAGAGTAATGTATTGACTATTTTCATACTTTTACACTACAATTTCAAAAGGTATTTTTAAAGAAAAGGAAATAAAATATTACAGTATTATCAGAAATACTACATCAGCTATACTCTAATGCACTTCCGACAATGGGGCCTGAACATGGTGTTATGGCATAAATCACAGGCAGAAGAAGGAATAGGAAGAAGTGTTTTGCCACACTTCAAGGTTGGGTTTGCTTGAGATCCCAAAACTCCCTTAGTCCCCCTTTTGGGATTTAAAATTCTGCTTCCCCTTAATCTAATGAATTCTCCCTTTTTATAATAGGGAAAATACAAGACTCTAATAACTAATAGTCTAACTAATTAAGACAGAGACTTCTAATTGAATCAAATATCTGGAACACCTAAAAGAATAAGACAAGTACAACCAACTATTAAGCAATTCTAATCTAACCAAAACATCTATTAAATAATTGATAAAAGTATTGTTGCCTTCCTGCATCATATCCATGTCCCCAGCCTGCATCACATGGCTGTAACTTCAAGGGAGAACTTCACTAAAGATGACAAAATAGATTACATATACAGAACTCAACATAACTCTACAAAGCGTTAACCTAAAACTAGTTGGATTCAGCAATATATTGACTCTATTTCTCTGTGAGCTTTTGTTAATGCAAGTTTATCATAACCCCTATTATGTCTTTCTTATGATCTAATGAAGTTAGTTGTAGTCTTCCATTCTCATAAAAGTAGTTAAGAAGCTGAAACTAATCGCAAGGGAAATTACTTTCTTGCATCAGCAAAAACAAGGTTCTGCAGGACATGTACATCTCAGATTAAAATATTTCAATACCTCTGATGCCATCTAATCAGGAAAATATGATCTAGAAGTAAAATCTGGGAACATTTTTATAAATATGGAGTATAAGAAATAAAACAACAATGTATTCATTCAATTGCATACCAGGTGACTGGTGGTTGCCAAAAGCAACAAGAAAGATGTTTCCAAGAACAATAAAAGTCGTTGCTACCATTACTCTGCAAGGAAACAACATTTGTCATGGTGAAACTCATACTATAAGTAACACAAATTTTTAATAAAAATCACTAGAATATTCTGTCAATGACTAGAGTTTAAGATAGACTGACTCACTTGACTGTCACAGTTTTGTTCAATACAAAGTAGGCAAAAGCAATGTTAGAAACAAATTGTACAGATCCCAGAGCTGCAAGTAGTGACTGCAAAAAGAAAAATACCAAGACAGTGAAAACTCATGGCTATGAAATGGATGAGGGAAACCCCACCAAAAAATAAAAAATAAAAAATTCCAAAGTATACACCTCCAGCTGAAAGCCAACTCAAATGTCTACTGACCTGAGCAGCGTATCCAAATGAAATGAAATTTAGACAGTTCCCAACAGCAAAAAAAATAATTCCTGCACCAGAAATTCACCATCAGACATGATCATATCCAGTAGAGAAAGAGAATCACTTGCAAGCAATAAACCACCATGGAACAGAGGCATACCAATTCTCCATGTTTGGAAATATATTATGGGCTTCACTGCAACCTTCCCATTTGTTCCCTCCGTGTCCAGCATGGAATACTTTTCCTTCTATAATACAATAATTAGTCATTACAGTTGACATGGACTAACCCAGTTACCTCGCAATAAGGATGACACACAACTAAAATGTGCAGTCATGAGCTATGCTGGCAATCAATATTTTCTCAAGTGTGCAAGTCTTGTGACTATGAGCAGTTTTCAGTTGCCAAAATTTAGGTAAGGCAGACAAGATTCAAATAGAAAACAGTAATTGAAGTACCTAATAGTTGAGGAAAAAACTAGTGAAAGTATAAATTACCTCATCATGACCCAGTTTTAGAAGGTTGGTTCCAAAATTAATGGCAATGCTGCCGAAAAGGTTGATGAATGCTCCAATCACCCACTCCCCCATAAGGTTGATTGCAGCCAAGCAGAATGTTGAGAGTGGTGAGAATACTTAAGCAATCAACTGAGGTCAGTTCTTCTTGCAAAACAGTGATTGGCATACCATCTGTTGCACCCATCAATGAAGTTGAAAAGCCGGCTTCAAAGAAGCATTAGCATCCATTAGAGAAGTCCTTAGGCCTAATTGCTTCTTAGACATCAATCAAAATTTTTTATCCTTAAAGAGATAAAGGTGAGTTGGGGGGGGGGGGGGGTGCATTGCATCAAATACCAGTGCAGAGATAGGGTGGTGGTTATTTCTGTGTTCAAACACGGGAATGGCTAAAAGTCACCATGTGGTTATATTAAACCGTTGATTTACAAGGCTATAAGTAAAAAACTAGATTCAAGTGGAAATAATTTGCAACAGATAGATAAAATGTAGAAGATGGAAGGAGGGAGGGAGAGAGCTAAGAGCCTAAAATGACAGCAATAATCAAAGGAAGATGAAAAGAGAGGGGATATCAACACTGCTGCTACAAAAAGGCAGTTCATTCAGGGTTAATGTAAAGCTTTACATAGAATCAAATCAATTCTCGATCTGGCCATGGTTCCGAGCAAAACAATCAAATTCCAAGCCAACAAATACAAATGTGAGACATATCGATCCCCGCCAAACGCGGAAATCTCCAACGAAATTGAAATTTCAATCGGAAAAAGAATGCAGAAAGGGAAGAAGCTGAGCAAATTCACCTCGGGCGAACAAGGACGCGCCTGTGCTTTGCAATCCGGAAATGGAAAAGCAAATGCTGAGCCAAAAAGAATCGCTCAGCAGATCTGACGACGACGAACCCTGTGTTGAGTCCCCCCTCCCCTTGATCTAGTGTATATATTTCACCTGGAAACCGATCACATTACATAACAATGATATTGGATGGATGGATAGCAAAATGCAGTATTGCAAGAAAAAATCGGATTTAGCGAGAAAGGATGAGGTGGAGGAGGGAGGGGTTCAACACTTTTGTTCTTCCTTTCCGATTTGTAAATATGTCATCGCCAACGCCCAACGGGGGTCCATTTGGCCAGCAATCAATTAAATTGTGTCGATTGCGTCTGCGTCACAAAGCAGAGGTTTGTCCTACTCAAAAAATTAAATTTTTAATTTCTTTGGTAAAATAAGCTATTACGGGTAAAACGAATGACCTTGTGATCCACTTGTACCAAGTTACTCCCCGAAAGTGGGTTAAGCCTAAAAAAAAAAAGTACAAATGCCTCCTATTTCAACACTTAAACTTGAAACACGGGTGCAATTAAACCATTTTAACCTATTAAATGTCATGTCATTTTCTTTACATACCTTGAATGCCACATTATTCTTTTTCTAATTAAAATATTTTAGTTGTCATGGTAGTTGGGGAATTGACTAAAATGGTATAATAAAAAAAAATGAGGAACAGGCAATAATGGGTAACTTTTTAAAACTTGGACAAAAGAATGAAAAACTCATTTGAAACTTGAGTTTCTGGTAAAAAACGCAAGTCACACTTGAATTTCTCAAATTTTTGAAATCTTTTTTTCTTTAGCTAAAATACGACGTACTTGCATTTGTCAAAAGTTATATAAGAAACACAAGTACGACTTGTGTTTCTTGTTCGTATAAATACAATATTGATCCTTATTTTGCTTACAAAAGCTCATCTTCTGTTTGTTGTCTGTGAACCCTAGTTCCCAAACAAACATACACAGAAATTGAAGTTTGTTCGGCGTCGATCGGGTTGGCCGAGTTCAGCCCCTACTCGATTCGAGACGTGGTGCTGTGGCGGCTTGATGATCAAAGGTTGTGGCAGGTGCTAGAGGGGAAATTGTTGGGTGTCGGTCGAGTTGGCCGAGTTCAGCCCCTAATCACCAATTGGTTTTAAGTAAAATATGTCAACCAAATAACCAAAGAGAGATCTTAACTTACCGCAATCACATGATTGGTACGGTGAACCACCGGGAAGTAAGCAAGTGCAGCGCTAAGATCTATCAAAGTTGAAAGTTGAAATAAAAGTTGGGGGGTAAGACGATGATGCAAAGACGCAAGACCAACAATATGTAACGAGCCTAGGGTTACAGAAGGGGAGAAGAGAAGAGAGAGAGAGAGGTTGAGGGAGAAGAGAGAAATTAGGGAAGGAAGTTGAAATTGCATTGAGATTCCAGAATGCCCTATTACATTATTCTGCTGCTACATATACTTGGGAAATTAATAGTATTAACTGCCTGACATTCTAACTGAACCAACGACTCTACTAAGCTTAAACGACGCCGTCGGATTCCTTCTTAACTGCTGCGATCATCTCACCAACAGCGACTGCTTTTGGAGCTCTAAGTGTCAAGGCCCTTAATCGCCTGTCACGCGACGTTGTTTGCTGCTAACCAATTCCTTGGGCAACTGCTGGGATCATTACATTACCCTCCCCTTCCAAAGATCCTTGACCCCAAGGATCAAACGTAGTAAATTGCTTAGTAATGTGGTAATAATCTTCCAAGGTAGAAACTTCTTCCGGCAAATTGGCCCATTGCACTAGAATCTGTGTCAGAGTTTTGTTATCCCTCTTGACTAGCCTCTTATTCAACACTGCCACATGTTGTGCTAATACTTCTCCTTCTTGGCCTACAAGGGGTGGTTCCAGTTGAAGCACTGCTTGGTCTCCTATCTTTATTTCAACTGAGAAATGTGAAAAATAGGGTGAATCTATGCAGTTGGAGGCAATGCCCGTTTGTAGGCCACAGTTCCCACCCTCTCAGTGACTTGATAGGGTCCATAATACTTGGCTGTGAGCTTGATGTTGGTCCTTACAGCTACTGAAATCTGCCTGTAAGGTTGGACCTTCAAATACTTTCAATCCCCCACTTGCAAGACTCTTTCACTCCTTATATCAACTTGTTGCTTCATTCTATGTTGGGCCAGCCTCAAATTGTCTTTAACCACTGCTAGTACTGCTTCTCTTTCAGCCACCCACTCCCTTTCTCCCACTCTCTGCCCCACTCCTAGAGCCAGCATAGGGGATTTATAACCATAAAGGGCCTGAAATGGAGTACTCTGTAGGGAAGAATGGAAGTTAGTATTGTACCAATATTCAGCCAAGTGTAGCCACTTGGCCCAAGTTTTTAGTTTTTCGAACACCATGCACCTCAAGTAGGTCTCTAGGCACCTGTTGACTCTCTCAGTTTGTCCATCTGACTGAGGATGATAAGTAGTGGACATACTCAATTGAACCTGCAACTGTTTAACGATTGATTGCCAAAATTTGTTGAGGAACACTTTGTCCCTATCAGTTACAATGTCCCTAGGCAGCCCATGCAACTTATAAACATTCTCCATAAATGTCAGTGCTACACTCTCAGCAAAATAAGGGTGAGCTAAATAGGGGTGAGCTAAGGAAATGAAATAGTTGTACTTGGTCTCCTATCTTTTTTTCAACTGAGAAATGTGAAAAATAGGGTGAATATAGGCAGTTGGAGGCAATGCCCGTTTGTAGGCCACAGTTCCCACCCTCTCAATGACTTGATAGTGTCCATAATACTTGGCTGTGAGCTTGATGTTGGTCCTTACCGCTACTGAAATTCGCCTGTAAGGTTAGACCTTCAAATACTTTCAATCCCCCACTTGCAAGACTCTTTCACTCTTTTTATCAGCTTGTTGCTTCAATCTATGTTGGGCCAGCCTCAAATTGTCTTTAACCATGCTAGTACTGCTTCTCTTTCAGCCACCCACTCCCTTTCTCCCAATCTCTACCCCACTCCTAGAGTCAGCATAGGGGGTTTATAGCCATAAAGGACCTGAAATGGAGTACTCTTTAGGGAAGAATGGAAGTTAGTATTGTACCAATATTCAGCCAAGTGTAGCCACTTGGCCCAGGTTTTTGGTTTTCTGAACACCATGCACCTCAAGTAGGTCTCTAGGCACCTGTTGACTCTCTCAGTTTGTCCATCTGACTGAGGATGATAAGTAGTGGACATACTCAATTGAACATGCAGCTGTGTAAAGATTGATTGCCAAAATTTGCCGAGGAACACTTTGTCCCTATCAGTTACAATGTCCCTAGGCAGCCCATGCAACTTATAAACATTCTCCATAAATGTCAGTACTACACTCTCAGCAAAATAGGGGTGAGCTAAGGAAATGAAATAGTTGTACTTGGTTAGCCTGTCTACCACAACTAGTATTACTTCCTTCCCTTGTGACTGTAACTTAGGCAATCCTTCAATGAAATTCATGGAAATTCCTTTACAAGCTTGATCAGGTATGGCCAAGGGTTGCAAAAGACTTGGGGAGGGTATGTTTTCAGCCTTGCACCTCTGGCATGTATCACAGCTTTTCACCATCTCTTTTACTTCTTGCTTCATGCCCTTCCAATAGAATAAGGACCTTAGCCTCTGATATGTTCCCTGTTGGCCAAAGTGCCCTCCCAATGGAGAATCATGCATCTACAGTATAGATTTACCCCTTAGCTCTCCCTTATTCCCAATATAAACCCTTTGTTTGTATCTTATCAACTCTTCAATCATTGTTACATTATCAGGATTGATAAGGTTGGTTGTTAACTGGTCCTGAGCCCACTCATCCCCTTCATAGTTGTTAACTACCTCTTCCAGCCACTGTGGTTTAATACTGAGGACAGTATTGAGCTCAGACTCCAGATCAGTTTCTCTTCTTGATAGGGCATCAAGAACACAATTATCAATGCCCTTTTTATACTGAATTGTATAGTGCAACCCAAGTAGTTTGGATAACCATCTTTATTGTGTGGCAGTAGTTATCTTCTGTCCTAAGAGAAACTTAAGACTGTGGTGGTCAGTCCTAATAATAAAATGCCTCCCTACCAAGTAGGTTCCACTGCATTAATGATAGAATGTATTCATTTTCATAAATAGACATAAATGTTTGTCCCAAAGGCTTTACTGTAGTAAGTAATGGGCTTCTCTTCCTGAATCAACACTACCCCCCCCCCCCCCCCCCCCCCATTCCTTTGTAACAAGCATCGGCCTCTACTATAAAAGGCTTTTGGAAGTCAGGTAGGGCAAGAACTGGGGTTGAGCACAAGGTCTTCTTCAATTTTTCAAAGGCAAATTCAACTTCTTCACTCTATTGGAAGGAATTCTTCTTCAACATACCTGTTAAGGGCCTGCTAATCACCCCATACTCCTTGATGAATCTCCTGTAGTAACCTGTTAAGCCTAGGATCCCCCCTCAATCCTTTGATGGACACAGGCTTAGGCCACTCAGCCACTGCTTCTAACTTAGAAAGATCAGTATGCAACCCCTTCTCAAATATAATATAGCCTAAATATGCCACTTCCCTCTTTGCAAAAGAGTAATTGCTAAGCTTAGCCAGCAGCTTGTGTGTCCTCATAAGACTCAGAACTTCTCTAAGGTGATTCCAATGTACTCCCAAGTCAGGGCTATACACTAGAATATAATCAAAGAAGACCAGGACAAACTTTCTCAACAGAGGTTTAAACACATTATTCATCAGGGCTAACACATTATTCATCAGGGCTTGGAAGATGGTTGGTGCATTAGTGAGTCTAAAAGGCATGACTCTGAACTCATAAAGCTCTTGGTGAGTCTATAAGACAGTCTTGTATTCCTCACCCTCTTTCATCCTTACAAGACAGTCTTGTATTCCTCACCCTCTTTCATCCTTACCTGATCCTTACCTGGTGATAGCCAGCTCTCAGATCCAGCTTAGTGAAGTACTTAGAACCAGCTAATTCAGAGGAAAGGTCTTCTACTACTGGAATAAGGAACTTATTTTTCACATAATGTCATTCAAGGCACAGTAATGAATCCAACGCATCAAAGAATGAATAAAATATTAAGACCTAGAAAAGCTCAAGGGGAAATTTGAGAAGAGGATTTCTCAAACCTGAAGGCATTGTAGCCAGCAATAAAAGCAACAGCTTATGATGCATATGATATGCATCTTTGGCATCAAAATTTGAAGAAAGCATATCTCAAAGAAAGAGATAAGATCAGCTTTTATGAACCAAAATAAAGACAACACCCACA